AACCAATATCATAAAACAGCATGTGTGTTACTGTTACATGAGAAACTATCTGTTCTGTAAGCCTTCACCTGAAGTACAATAAAATATTAAAAAAAAAAAAAAAGTGAGTATCTCATCAGGGATCCTGCCTGGGTTTCTCAGCATCATGTAAATCTCCTTGGTTCTTATGTGACCCAATACTCAACAGCATTTCCCTAGCCCTGTACTGATTGAGATTGAATTTTCTGCCAGTTCCCAGGGCAGGGGAGCTTAGAGTCAGATTTAACTTGACTTAAAGAAAATAAAGTCATATACCATGTCTACATGCCCAGGTTTGTGGACCAGGCTTCATATGCCGTGCATATGCCCAGGATGTCAGGGTAAGAAATGGGAGACAGAGCATACACTGACAACCCTTGATTTCAGAAGAAGGAATCAAAGCTCTACCTTTCCTCCAGGTCTGGCCACTGCTGGAAGCTGCTCTTGGGGTTACTGCCAGCTTCTCCCTTTTGGGCATCCACAACTGGCTCCAGCCCGGCACTCAGGGACACAGTCAAGTCCCTCCGCAGATGGAGGGTGCTGCTGGCCATGCTGTCCAGAAAGCTGAGGATCTGGAGGCAGTTCTGTAGCCTGGATGGGAATGGGCTGGTGGAGGAAAAAGCGGCACTCTGCAAATCAGCAAATGGCCTGGGTTTTGCGCTTGCCGAGGATTGCAGCAGGGCTCCCTCTTCCTCCAGGACTCCAAAACAGCCCAGCAGGCAGATATCCTCCGCCAGCTTCTCAAACAGCCCATTTTTCTGGAAGAAGTCACTGTTGACAGGGTCTAGGTGCAGTGCTGCAGACATGGCACAGAGGGTGTGGAAGACCAGGTCCAGAGTCTGGCTGGGGGAGACCAGCCCCCACATCTGCAGTGGGGGTTCTTGGAGAGACCCCTCCAGGTCGGAGAGCAAAGACAGCAGCCCGTTAAATCCGCTGGAGACTCTGAAAGCAGCATGACCCTTGGGAGTTTCCAAGATCCGGATTAGAGACTGAAATACCAAAGAGATAAACATGAGCAAAATCTAGGAGGTAGATCTTCAGCACAGTTCTACTCTGACATAAATGGAGTCACTGTAAATTTGAGTCAACTCGAGGACAACTGGTTCTCGTATTATTTTGCAACTTATTTTCCCTTAATACTATATGTAAGACATCTTTTCAATCCTGTAATTATCGCTTTGCCTTAATTCATGGAATTGCTAGACTAAAATTATGTTGATTTAAATTTTTAACGGATGTAGCAAATTTGCTTCCTTCCATTTACACTCCGTAGAAATATCTATTTCTCAAACTTCTAGAGCTAATAGAAGAATTTAGCAAAGTTGCAGGGTACAAGGTCAACAAACAAAAATCAGTTGGGTTTCTATACACTAGCAATGAGAAATCTGAAAGGGAAATTAGGGAAACAATTCCGTTTACAATAGCATCAAAGAAAATAAAACACCTAGGAATAAATTGAATCAGGGACTTGAAGGACCTATATGATGAAAACTATGTAACACTGCTGAAAGCGATTAAAGAAGACTCAAATAAATGGAAAGATCTTCCATGTTCACATACTGGAAGACTTAATATTGTTAAAATGTCAATACTACCCAAAGTGATCTATAAATTCAATGCAATCCCAATCAAAATTCCAACAGCCTTCTTTACAGAAATAGGAAAACCAATCCTCAACATTATATGCAATGGCAAGAGGCCCTGAATAGCTAAAAGAATGTTGAAAGAAAAGAACAAAGTAGGATAACTCACACTTCCTGATTTGAAAACGTACTACACAGCTATAGCAATTAAAATAGCCTGGTACTGATAAAACAAAAGACATACAGACTAATGGAATAGAATTGAGAGTCCAGAATAAACCCACACATCTATGGGCAACTAATTTTTGACAAGGTTGCTAAGTCTATTTGATTGGGAAAGAAGAGTCTCTTTAATAAATGGTGCTGGGAAAATCGGATTTCCACATGCAGAAAAATGAAACAGGATCCATGTATTGCACCATATACAAAAACAAATTCAAAATGGATTAAGAATTTAAATGTGCAAACTAAAACTGTAAGATAAGTAGAAGAACAAGCAGGGGCAATGCTGTCAGGCCTAGCTTTCAATAATGGATTATCTAATACAATAACAAAAGAACAAACAGCAAAAGACAAAATAAATAAATGAGACCGCATAAAAATTAAAACTTTTGTTCATCAAAAGACTTCTCAAAAAAAGTGAAAAGACAAGCTACTGACTAATATCTTCAGAAACCACATATATGACAAAAATCTAATAACCAAAATATATGTAAAACTTTGAAAACTTAACAACAAAAAGACAAATAACCCAATCATAAAATGGGGAAAGGACTTGAATAGACATTTCACCACAGAAGACATTCAAATGTCCACAAACACATGGAAAGATGCTCGGCGTCATTACCCATCAGACAGAGGCAAATCAAAACCACAGTGAGATACCATTTCACTCCCACAAGGATGGCTAACATTAAAAAGAGAAAAAAGAAAAGAACAAATGCTGGCAAGGATGTGGGGAAATTGGAATCCTTATCCGGTGGAAATGGAAAATAGTACGGCCGTTGTGGAAAACAGTGCGGCAGTTCCTCAAAAAACTAAAAGTAGAACTACCATATGATCCAGCAATTCCACTCCTAGGTATATACACAAAAGACTTGAAAGCAGAGACTCAAAAAAAGACCTGTACACCAACATTCACTGCAGCACTACTCTCAATAGCCAAAAGGTAGAAACAACCTAAATGGCCATCAACAGATGACTAGATAAACAAAATGTGGTACATACATACAATGGAATACTAACTATTGTCTTAGGCTGGATACTCTAGAGAAGCAAAACCACTAAAGCTTGTATATGTGTGTATATATATGCATATGTGTATATATGTATACACATACATACATATATATGTAGAGAGAGAGAGATTTATCTCAAGGAAATGGCTCATGCAGTTATAGAGGCTGGCAAGTCCTGAGTTCATGGATCAGGCTTCAGGCTGGAGGCTTCTCCTGACTCACATAGCTGCAGGGGCTGACAAATTCAAAATCAGCAGGTCAGATGACAGGCTAATGGGCTATGGAGGCTGATGAATCCCAAGACTGGCAGGTAATAAAGGAGGCTGCTGGCTCAAGTTCCAAGAACTGGAAGTCAGATGATGACCAGCTGGGTGCAGGATCCAGAGCAAGCAAAAGCCAGTAAGTTTTGCCAGAACATCCATATATATTGGATGCAGGCCACACTCCCAAGGAAATTCCCCTTACAACTGATTGGCCAATCACATCAGATTACATCACAGACGTGATTACATAATATCAAAAAATGGAGGGTAACTACATCATTACCTAACTGCCAAATTACATCATTACATAACTGCCAAACCACTGAGAATCATGGCCCAGCCAAGTTAACACACAACCTTAACCATCACAGTCTACCCCTTGTCTACTTGGCACATGTACAGCTCTCCTTAAACCATACAAAATCTCTAAATAGAGACAATTACTCAGTTTTACTTGCACCTAACATAACACAGTTAACATGTATAACCAAAAATGTACTAGCCCTCTTTCCATGTTAGATTTTATGAGTGAAGAAAACAAAAATATTTGATTCACACATACAAGGAAAGAAGACTCATAACAATTACTCATAACAAGACCTCATTTCTGAAACTGGTCACGTGGTCATAACTGGTATTTAGAACGGCCTTCTTCCACCACCCATTCTGTATTCCCTTTGCCCTCAGCAAGCACCTCAGCTGGTAGTGGTTCTTTGCCTGGTGAGATGACCCAAAACGTCATTCATGAAGGGTCTGGGCATTAGTAGTTTTGTTGGAATTGGGTTGCTGTAGTTTTCCATTGACTTTAATCACAGGGCATGGTAGTACTAAGAGATGTCCTAGGAGATCTCCTTTATTCCAGACATATTCTTCTTTACTTCCATTATGTAACATCAATCCAACTTCCCCTTGGTAATCAGGATCAATCACATCAGCTGTAAAAAATGGCGTGGGGGTAGCGTCTGACCTTCTCTAACTTCACAAGGGGGAAGGAGAATCAAGATCAACAGCCCAAGGCTGATTCCTGTGGGCAGAGGTCAGACATGTCTCCTCTCACCACCATTTTTACCAGTTCTGACACCAATCGTCCATCCTGCAGCACTCTCTACTTCTCTGCTAGGTTCGATAATTCATTGCAATGGCCACACAAAACTCACAAACAATATTCATGATTATGGGGTTTATCAGGGAAGTTGCAGGTTACAATTCAGGCTCAGGAACACTCAGGATACAGTTATTCCATCAGGACAGACTCTTCTCAGCCATGCCACAGGCATGCCTCTCCCTGGCCTCTCAGCCTCTACCCTACTGAGGGGAAAATGTTACAAAGCTCTTTTAGCCCCTGCCAATAAGTTCCCAGAGGCACCCCAGGCACTGAGCTTTCTTGCTACATGGGCCAGGAATCCCACTGTGCCATCTCCTGCTGGTCTCTCTTCCCGCCACCACTTCCTTCCATCTTCAGTGTTACAGTTCTCTCAATCTCCTGGTTCCAGGAGCTTCTCAGCGCAGGGATCTCAGGTCCAATGGACATGCTGGCTCTTCTTCCTCGGTGGTGGTGGGATCCTCTCCTTTCCTACCTCTGAGATGGCTCACTTCCAGCCCAGCAGGATGGCAAAAACTGACCAACCCCTTTGGTGGGCCACAATTACCCTATCTTCACAGTCCCACCCAATCACCTGGGTGGGAGTTACAAGACCATGGCGAGAAAGCTCACACAAAAGAGATCCATCGCACCGCACTAGCCAATAAACTAACACCCTTCTTTGCCTATTGATCCAGAGGCACAAGGAGCAAAAAGCGGCCGAGTGGCATGCTTAACTTCCAGTTCAATGGAACCAGTGTCGTGTCACCTGGTGGGAGCATTCCTCCCTTTGGAACTAAGACCTCTAGATCTGCAGTGCATAGGGTCACAGGAACAAAAAGTAAAAATTTTGCAAAAGCATCACAAGGGGAATAGTGAGTGATGCCACTTCCATTTCTACCCCTTGATTTCTGGAAACATGAACCCTGGCTATTGGAGGAACAGCACCGTACATTGGATACTGGTTTAGAGCATATACAGCCTTCTGGAGAACATTGCCCAACCTTGCAAGGTATTGCCACCTAGCTGGAGCTGTAATTGTGTCTTTAGAAGTCCATTCCATTGTTCTACCAAGCCAGCTACTTCAGGATGATGGGAAACATGGAAAGACCAGTGAATTCCACGAGCATAGGCCCACTGCTGTGCTTCATTTGCTGTGAAGTGAGCCCTTTGATCCAAGGCAATGCTGTGTGGGATACTATGATGGTGGATAAGGCATTCTGTAAGTCCACAGATGGTACATTTGGCAGAAGCACTGTGCGCAGGGAAGGCAAATCCATATCCAGACTAAGTGTCTATTCCAGCTAGAACAAAATGTAGCCCTTTCCATGATGAAATCAGTCCAGTGTAATCAACTTGCCACCAGATTGCTGGCTGATCACCTCGAGGAATGGTGTCATATGCAGGACTCAATGTTGGTCTCTGCTGCTGGCAGATAGGGCACTCAGCAGTGGCTGTAACCAAGACAGCCTTGGTGAGTGGAAGTCCATGTTGCTGAGCCCATGCATAAACTCCATCCCTGCCACCATGGCCACTTTGTTCATGAACCCATTGGGATAGAAGTGGCTGGGGAAAGGGGATGACTTGTTTCCACAGAACACAACATCCTATCCACTTGTTAAAATCCTCCTCTGCTGGGGACACCCTTTGGTGGGCATTCACATGAGACACAAATATCTTCACTTCACTGGCCCATTCAGAGATGTGTATCCACATACCTCTTCCCCATACCTCCTTGTCTCCAATTTTCCAATCATGTTCCTTCCAAGTCCCTGACCATCCAGCCAAACCATTGATCACAGCCCATGAATCAGTATACAATTG